GGATGTTCTATTCTGAATTTTACTGTATATGTTTACTATCTGTGCGACCCTAGACAAGTTATTTAAACTCTCATAGACACACGTAAAATGACTTTAATAATTGCATATATCACAGGGTCTATACGAATAATCTCATAGAGTCAATAATATAAAGTAAAAAATAAGATATTTAAAATGCTTTTGTAAAACCTTAAAATATTTTGTTAGTTATTATTTTTATTACTATTGTTTATTGCAGTCATGGATGAACCATTATGAAGTACATCTATTTCTTTGGTAAAATAGACTTGATTTCTGTCTTAAAGGTTGAATTTGCCAGAATTAAAAATATTTAAATTATGAAGCGCTCTAGACTACATTCTCTGCCCATCTTAATCCTGCCTTAGGATTTTATGAGTGAGTTTCAAGCCTACTTCCTAGGCAGCATCAACAAATCTAATAGATATGTTGCTTTTCTTCAGGTTAGCTGCTTTGAACAATTAGGGAAAACATTTTTATAAGGTTTTGAACAAGTAAAAGTAATAGTTATCCCTGCTCTAGAGTCACCTAACAGGTGAATTACTGCATAATAGCTAGGTTACTGTCTCATAACAAAGCATGAGTTAAGTTACTCTTTAATTTTATACCTTTATTAGGGAGTAGCACTGCTTTTCCCCAATTGCTGACTGTGGTAATATTTTTTTCCCTCCCTTGGAAAGCCAAATATTGAAGGATATGGTATAACAACTGTTTCATAATTATGATGTAAAATAATACTCTGCTTGCAATTAACCTAGGTAGTTTAACTTGGTTCAATAACGGAAAATCACTGTACTCATAATGTTTTAGTACATTTATGTTTGGCAGAGAAAAGAATTCAACTCTCACCATAAAATGATTAAATAAAAAATAAGTAAAATTTTGAGGAAAGCAATACATAGTAACATGGGACACTACTGCAAATATTTTCAAAATTGGCATACAATACTGAAACTGCTGGTTGAAAAAAAAGACAATAAATCTTTTTTTGTAATTCAAATGTACACAAATGACCTTTTGAGCAATGCTGCTATTGTTTTAATAATTGTTATTTATAATATATTATTACATATTATATGCAACTTAAATTATTAATATTATGATTCATTATTAGTAATAGCTATAATAACTCTAAATTATAATGCTTTTTGGAAAGAAATTTTGTTGCCCAGTGTTACATGGTGCCTTTGTTTTTTAAACTACATATTCTTTTTGCATACTATAGTATAGTCATAAAGGAAAAGAAAATCCCTTTAACATATCCTTGGTATAAGAATTGTTCTTATTTGTGTATTGTGATAGCCAATGCACTTATAATAAGTTCTTGGTAATTGTTATAATTATTAATTATAGGTCATCTAAGTGGCTACATAGACAGGGCACTGGGATTAGAATCAAAAAGACTCATCTTTATGAATTCAAATCTGGCCTCAGACATTTATTAGCTTCATGACCCTGAGCAAGTCACCCTCTTTGCCTCAGTTCCTCATCTGTCAAATGAACTGGAGCAGGAAAGAGTAAACTATTCCAGTATCTTTGCCAAAAAAAATCAAAACCAAATGGGGTCATGAAGAGTTGGAGACAACTGAAAAATGACACAATCAAGAATAATATTACATTTCACTTATTAAGAGTAATATTATAATACTGATTAATAGCAGCAGCAGCAGCAACAGCAGCAGCAGCAGCAGCAGTAGTAGTAGCAGTAGTAGTAGTAGTAGTAGTAGTAGTAGTAGTAGTAGTAGTAGTAGTAGTAGTTGCTGATATGATATAACACTTTGAAGTTTGCAGAATGCTTTATATATATTATCTCATTTGGTCATTGTAACTGGGACTGGACACAGATTGGGACTAAAATTATTCCATATCATTAGAAATCAAGAAAAGATCATAAGAAGTTCTTGTTTTGGGATGACTTCAGAAAAACCTGGAAAGACTTGTATGGTCTGATGCTGAGTGGAGTGAGCAGAACCAAGAGAATGTTGTACAATAATAGCCATGTTGTGCAATGACTAATATTGATAAACTTAACCCTTCCCAGCAATGCAAGGATCCAAGACATCTTCAAAGGCCTCATGATGGAAAATGCTATCCATATCCAAAGAAAGAATGATACTGTTTGCCATTTTTTTCTTCTGTTGAGTTTTGTTTCCTCTTTCTGGTGGTTCCTCCTATTGGTTTAATTCTTACTTACAATGTCAATAATGTGAAAATATGTTTAATAGGAATGTATATGTATAGCCTATATCAGATTGCATGCCATCTTGGGGAGGGTGGTGGGGAAGAAGGGGGAGAAAAATTTTAAACTCAAAAGCATATGGAAGTGATTGCTGATAAATCAAATAAATTAATAAAAAAGTAAAAAAAAGAGAGTTCTGCAAAGACTTTCTTCTACTTGCTACACCTGTGTATGCATGATTATGCCTTCATCACATAAGGCAAGGGTTGTCCTCTAGGCCCCTGTAACAAATCTATAGTAGGACATCTTTTCACATGACTTCCCACATTGACTATTTCCACTGATGATGGAAATAATGTAATTAATGCTTCTTAGTGTCTATACAAGAAAAAATGAACTTGTCTGCTTTAATTCATCCTCACTTTAATACTTTCTGTTAAATTGTGCATGTTCCCAGTTCAGAAAAGTACATACCAGAACTTGCCAAATAGTTATTGAATCCCTTGCACTTATTATGGTGATTTCTGCTTATTTAAAGTGAAGAGAATCAAAACATAGCTAATATAAATTATAAGGTATCATTATCTGAACTCCCATTCTCACAGATGAGTCAGGCCCCAAAATTGTGCTAGATATACCTATTCCTTGGATTTCTAGGTGCATTCTTGAGTGGTCAGTAGTGATTCTCTGACAATGGCCTAAGCAACAATACCTGTGCTCCCCTGACCTCAAGATTATCACTTGAAAACCATTTAGTTAGCTAGCCTTAAGTACTTTTTTTTATTTTTAAGAAAGTGGTATTTTCTAAGTTGGCACAATAAGAACACTTAGTACAAGCATCCCCCCACCCCTGCTTCAAAGTCTGTGACTCACTATTCTTGCAGCACATACAAAGTCCTGGGGAAAATAAGTTCAAACTTAGAGTACACACAGTTAACTCACATTTTCTGATTGCTAAAACTCTGTTTCTCTCATCTATGGAGTGCTCAAGAAGTTTACCTTAGGCATGATATTTAGTCTCTTTCCAGGGCTTCTTGTACGACTGTGACTCCAATCTGTCCTTGGCTCCCACTAATGCAGACCCTGCCACCATCTTATCTGGGAATGCTGTTTAAGACAATGATGGGGGAGATGGGAAGCACTGTTATTTTGGAAGTATGATAGTAGAACACTGTTGGGAAGATGGAGAATTCTGATATCCTTCAAAGCTGGCAAGGTCTTTCCCTAATAAAAAGGGTTGGAGCACCAGTTGAAGTCTTTTTAAGTTTCCCCACTCCACCCCACCCCATAACACCACAACATCTATCCATCTAGCCTTGTCAATAAGTAGATCTATTTACTCATGTTTGGGATTCCTGGAGCTAAGTTCATCACACAATGAAATGGCCTATTTAGGGGTCAGTTTCTCTACTTTGAATATATGAAACATATTCCACAGTGCTTTTACTGGAAAGGGAGCTCTGGCATGAGATCTGTCTCATACAATTACATATATATATTCTGTGGTTCAGACTTAGTGACCTGTTGATTATGTCTGGCTTAACTTTAATTTCTGATACCTTTTTGCCCCTCCACACTATGACCCCAAGACTCAAAATCTGGGATTGATTAAGTACTATCAAAAACTTTTGAGGGGAAGAATATTTTTCTAAAGTCTTAAGCCTTGGCCTTGTATCCTTCTCCAATCAAAAGGGAACCTGGTATAGCACTTCAAACACCAAAAACAAAATTAGAGAGTTGAAATTCTTTCATTTCTGTAAAGCTTCTCCATTAAAATGCTTTTGGTAAAAAAAACTTAAAAAGTATGTTTTCATAAATATCACCCTCCAGTTAATAGTCAAAGCATGCAAACTGAGCCCAGGAATATTACACACAAAGTCTTTGCTTTGACGGGTTCATTTTTTATATCAAATTACTCACCTCCTAATGTTCACCCACCACTGATAATTGTGTATGGGTAGAAAGAATGCATGGTTCAGGATTTCCTTGAATGATGGAGGTGAAGGGTCTGTTTCTAGTGTATCAGCAGTATTAGCCCCAAAGAGATGGGGAATGAGTTAGCAAACAATGTTTTAGAGGCTTTCCACTAATGTTGTCAATCATTCTAGGGCTCTGAGGTCTAAGGAGGTGATGTGAGGTTAGGGAGAATATTAGCCCACAGACCTTTGAGGGTGCTAAGTCAGGAGGGAGATTGGTAGAATCCATCAGTGATTATATTGATATGCAAGAGACAGACAGAGAGGCAGGGCATATAACTAACACAAGTAACACTGACAAATATAATTCTCCATCACTCCCTGAATTTTGGCCTCCTTATTAGCACAGGCTTTCTGGTCCTGAGTCATTGTTCCAGTAACTACTTTTCCTTCTCTCATTTGATTGTGTTGTTCCATAGAGATATCCTGGTGGGCACCTATCCTGGGATGATTATTTGAACTTTGAACTTGGCCATCCCCTCCCACCTCAGGTGGGAACATTTCTCTACCTAAGGGATTCCCAGTCATTGGCATGTTTCAGCCATTTAACTTCTATGGGCTTCAATTTCCTCATCTATGAAATGACTTCTAAGATCCCATCTAACTCTAAAATCTATGAGCATTCCCATGGATTCTACTGATATCCAGAATTTTAAATCACTTGGATTTTTTTTTCATAATTGTTATTCTTTTCAGGTATTGCACTGTGTTAAAAAAGTTTCCCTATTAATATTTCATGTGTTGGGACAAGCTGGAAAATTTTAGGAATGAGTTAAGGATCAACTTCAGGAAAATAACTTTCTATATTTTTTGTCTCTCTCTTTTAGAAATTCCATTTTTAATTTGAAAGAAAAACTACTTCTACTTGAGAGAGAAAAGAAAAGTGAGAAAACCACATGGAAGACTCACAGGATTTAAACGAACAATCTGTAAGTCCTAATTAAAAAAAACCTTTTATTTAAAATAGTTAATATAAATGTGCCAAAGATCTTGCTTCATATTAAAATGAAAAGAAATGGTTGCTTTATCTCTATCCATCTTCTATCTACATTTCAATGTGTATATGTATGTGTGTGTGTGTGTGTGTGTGTGTGTGTGTGTGTATACACAGTGGCTACACAACAGAATTATTTAAGATCGAAATGCTGTAGAATACCTTTGATGACTGAGATCCAATTTCTATTTGCCTCCCATTATGGAAGGCTTATTTGAATATTCATTCATAACTCACAAAATTATGAAGCCTTATTCAGAAGAACAACGAACACTCAAGAAAACACTGTGGGTAATAACTGGATTTTGACATTTTGCACTTGTCTGAAATTATTGCATGCACAAACAATTTTCAAATTGTGAAACTTTGAGACAGAAGAACATGTATATTACATAATGGAATGATGATTCAAAAATTGAGGCATGGCAATCATAACCTTCCTATCATTTTTAAAAATTTCTGGGATCATATTTCAGATAAGCAGGGAAACTCATTGGAGAATATATTAGTTTTGTTTGTCTAGTAGGTTATGATTTTCTGCAAGGAGAAATCTTCTAGTGCCTTTAACTCTGCCTTCTTTACATTTCCCACTCATCCTCTTTGATCATGGAGTAACTTTGAAGTTGAAATTGAAAGCCAGCACTAGTTTGCTCATTGGAATAGTGCGTTAGGAGTTGTGGTAGTGTCATAGCAACTGGCTCATACTTGTGTCCATTCAATGTTACCTCACTGCCTACATAGGAGTAGTTATATCCCCAGGAATGAAACATTAATGTCCTCTATTTTGATTTATACAAATGAATGTAATCCTCTTCATTCACTTGGATAATCAGTAACAAATTGAATTGCTGCATCAGGAATTTCACAAGCATATGGGAAATTCACCTAAAGAAAATATCTTGGATTTATAATGGAGCAAATTCCTTTAGAAAATACTCAGAGCTTGAGATGAATATGAGTCAGAGGACAATCTACATAAAGATAGTCTCTCCTTATGCTTTCCTTTAAAATCTCTCATAAGATTTTATAAAGGTATTTTCTCAGTTGTGGGAGAAAACTCACTGTTTTTAAGATACATTTACATCCAAGCTCAAAACAGATTAGAAAAAGACTTGGCCTTTATACTAATACCAGAAAATGGAGATAACACATTCATTGCATGTTCTTATGAGACCACAAAAACATTTTTCTTCAATGAATTATGAGGGTTATTTTTAATAAGGAAGAAAATATGTATGCATATTATATACATACATATATTTATGCACATGTGAATGTATGTGTATATATGTATACAGAGACACAGATCCATATATATACACCCACACACACATACACACATTTACATGTGCATAAATATGTATATGCATATATAGGTTAAATAGGTTTTTTTCCCCTATTATTTCACTTCAGACCTCTGGCGTTGATATGACAGTCTAATCTCAACAATATACTACTAGTTATGTGTATGCGTGTATGAGTGATAATAAAAGGTAGATAGGCAAGCCATACACACACACACACACACACACACACACACACACACACACACACAATAATAAAATATAGACCGACACATAGCCATAGTCACTGCATCTTCTGATCCCTGTAGTACAGTACATAATACCCATGCAAGGATTATCACTCAGGACTAGGTTAATTCTGACAAAACTTTAGGAATCTAACCCACTGAAGTCAGTGGGTTAGAATTCCAGGAGGTCCAGCAAAACTAAGAGGATTCATTTGGGATCTGAGATCAGAGCAGACAGTAGTTCAGGTTCAGGGAGTCAGGCAAAGTATGAGAGATCAAGTTAGTTTCCAAGAACCAATTTCAAGGCTAGAGAACAATGATGTGTATTCTGATTCAGGTCAGGGTATCTTTCCCTTCTGATTTGAGAAGGGAGAGAAGAAGTGCTTTTACTAGTTCACCTTCCTTCTACTCCTTATGAAATTGTGCTGGTGAGTTCTTTCTTATCACTTTAATACTCTGTCAGCTATTTTTCATCTTTTACATATTGTACTACAGAGCTGAATGGAAGGCCAGAAGTTTGATGTGTGATTGGGTTTTAAAGCTCAATGGAGATTAGCATGATTATGATGGGGCTACTGTTGATTGTCAAACTGTGCCATATCTACATGCCTAAATGTCTAAACCCTTATGGCCTCACTGTTGGTTTTGAGTCTTCACAGAAGATCATACGATGACCATCTTGACCTTCCTCAACCCTAACTCCATTGTTGAATTGATACTGAATAAAATAGGAGCAAAGGAGGGAAAAACTTTGGGAAGAGAAAGAAAAGAAATAAAATAAAAGCACAAAACATTTTTCCTCCCTCCCATTCAATTATTTCTGCCTAGAAGTTAAACTGATATTGAAACCCATGGTGACTTATAGTAAAGGCTTCCTTTTCATTTGCAGTTAGATGGAGTTTAAAGTGATGTCAGAGATTCTATATTAAATGTGATCACTCATGTTAAAAGTCATCAGGAAGCTTGAAACTCATGTTAGATGCTAATGGTTTAACAATTCAGGTTGAGTGCTCTAGGATGACTTCTAAAGTCTCTTAAAGTTCCAAATGCCTATGAAATGCAAACTTAATAAGTCATGAGTTCCTATCTTTTTATAAGGATGCTTGCAATGATATTTGATCAAGAAGTTACCATAGAAACTCAAAAAATGTATCAGAAGTGAGCTTTCTTATCTCAAATAATTTATATAATCTACTTTAAATCTTTCAGGATTTGATATTTTAAATCCTCAAGGAAAAAACAAGAAAATCGTGATATTGATCAAAATCATTAAACACTTTGAAAGTACAGTTAAAATAAGTTGAGCATTGGGAAGAAATGAAGTTCACTCAGATCAAAATTATTATTTTAAAGTTAATTTTCATGACAGCTATGTTGCATTTATAGTCAACAATCTATTCAACAACCATATATTGAACTGGCAATTATGGAACACTGGATTTGGAGAAAAAGAACCTCCACTACTTGTCTGGGCCTCAGTTTCCTTATTTGGACTATATCTCCAAAGCTTCTTCCAGCTCTAATTCTCATAACTCTATGGCCCTTAGCACTTACAGTGTGAAGGGTTTTCTGACCTCAGAGTTGTTTGATTTGCATTTTTCTAATCAATAGTGATTTAGATAATTTTTTCATATGACTATAGGTAGCTTTAATTTCTTCATCGGAAAACTTGCATTCTTATAATGTACTTTTAATGTACCTCCCAATGGTGGGAGGTATAGTGATTGAAAAGTAATTATGGTTAAAAAAAAAGTAGTAGGGGGAAGTAGATTTGTTTTATTTTATTTTTTTGAATAGTGCATTGGGGAGAGGTTTTACAGATGTGAAATATAGCACGCACTTTCAAATGAGGTCACCATATTATTGGTTTTACTTAAATGTTTTACTTTGTTACAAGAGATCTCTCCCAAAGTAGGAGTAAGCTGTAAATGTTTGTACAAAACGTATCAATAAAACTTTAACAAATAAAAATTTTAAAGGATCATCAATGAAAGGTTTTTTTAAAGTGTTGGGGAGCCCTGCATAAATGGATGAAAAAAAACTGAGTGGAAGAATGTTTTAAGAAAGGATCCTTTCTATTGCTCTTAATTACTAAAAATGATAGAAGTTAATAAATAAATTGTAATTTGCAACAGGTTTATAAGTGATAATAAATACATTACATGTGTTATGTATGTAACACAATTTCAAATGGTTCAATTAGTAAAATTCACTAGTACAGTGTCATTTATTGGAGATTTTGAATTAACTTCAAAATATTGAGCTTTTACTATCCTGTATTACATAATTTCTATTAAAGACATGCAAGAAATTAGATTCTGATATTAAGATGAAAAAGCACATAGTTTCTGTCCCCACCCCTCCCTGCAAAAAAAACGCACATAGATAAGGCTTACAGCCATGTTTCATTTCCCTATCAGACTCCTCATCAACTCCCATGCCCCCAGCCTAGATCTTGCCACTCCTTCCAGTTTTGTAACTATAGTCACCTGTTAAGGTCATGTCTATTTACTACCCTGTTGTTGAATTCACCATCTCTGTATCTTTCAAACCATAATATTTCTACCTGGCCATAATTCCTCTATCTATTGTCTTCTATTTTAATGTAAACTTCTTGAGGGCAGGGACTTAAATTTTGCTTTTGTGTTCCCAGCACTTAGCACGTGGACTAGACTAGATCATTTTAAATAAATTCTTTCTCTTTAGTTAACTAATCAATTGATCAATTAGTTGATGATAAAAATAGAGTAGCATGATGGCAAAGAAAGATACAGACAGTGTTCTAGGAAAATTTGAGGTGGGATATGACAGTTTCATCTGGAAGAATTGGGGAAATCTTCATGGAAGACATGGTAAAATGGGGCAAACTTTGAAGGAAAAGAGAGATTTTGACAAATCAGAATGAAGAAGGAGGGAGTATATTTCAGGCATGGAGTCACATGAGGCACATTATGACTTCGGTATACTTTCCTCCAAGTTTCACGCGCTGTTATAGAGATTGTTCATTTGGATTAAACCTAGAAACTTAATGATTATAACAACAACAAAAAAAGGAAATTGAATATAATTTTAATTTAATAGTCAAGAAAACAAAATACCTTGTGTTTTCTATTTTTGTCTTTATGTCTTTAGAATTTAGTGCAGTGCCTAGCATATTGTAGGTGCTTAATGAATTCTTGTTATTTGATTTCTGATTTTCTACTTTTTAAGAAAAACGGAGTACTTTTAGCCTCATAGTCTTTAGCTCTTCATTCCTTGTGAGGGACAATGTGGTACAGTGTAAAAGAAGCTGGCATCAAAAGTCCTGGGCTTTACTCTTTCCTCCATACCTTATTACCAAGTCAGTTAACCTCTTGGACACTCAGTTTCCCCATTCATTAAAATGGGGAGTGGGGCTGGACTTG